AGCACCATAACAACCACAATGACAACTACTGAAGGTGTTACGACAACGACGATGGCGACTTTTGAACGCGCCGCGACAACGACAATCGCGACCACTCAAAGCACCACGACAACGGCAATTTGGACTTCTGAAAGTGTCACGGTAGCCACAATGGTTACTATCGTAAGTACCATGACAACAACGCTGGTCACTACTGAAAGCACCACGACAACCACCATCGCAACTACCGAAAGTAACATGACAACCCCAATGCCCACGGCTGAAAGTATCGCGACAATGACAATGTGGAATTCAGTAAATACCATAACAACCACCAAGGCAACTACTGAAAGTGTCACCACAACGACGATGGTGACCACTGAAAATGCCATGACAAGCACAGTGGTGAGTACTGAAACTTCCACGACAGCGACGATGAGGACTACTGAAAGTGGCCTGACAAACACAATACTGACTACTGAAAGTGGCACGACAACAGCAATGGTGACTACTGAAAGTACTACGACAACGACACTGGCGACCACTGAAAGTACCCCGACAATGACGATGGTCACTACTGAAACCACCACGACAACCACAATGGCAACTACTGAAAGTACCATGACAACTTCAATGGCGACCTCTGAAAATATCACGACAACAATAATATGGAATTCTGTAAGTACCACGGCAACCACAATGGTTACTGTTGAAAGTACTACGACAACGACAATGGCGACCACTGAAAGTAGCACAACAACGACAATGTGGGCTTCTGAAAGTATCATGACAGCGACAATGGGCACATCCAAAAGAACCATGACAGGGACGATGGCGACCACTGAAAGTATCACGATTCAGATGAACGTGACCACTGAAAACCCCATAACAAGCACAATGACGACTATTCAAAGTACCATGACAACGATGTCGGCGACTACTGACAGTACTATGACGAGGACAGTGGCCACTACGGAAAGTACCATGAGCACCACAATGCTGACTACTGAAACAGGCACGACGACGACGGTGACCACTGAAAGCACTACGACAACGACGATGGTCACCACTGAAAGTCCCATGACAAACACAATGGTGACTACTGAAATTATTATGGCAACCATAACAGCAACTACTGAAATTGACACGACAGCGACGATGAGGACTGCTGCAAGTGCTGCAACAACGACAAAAGCGACTACTGAAAGGGGCATGACAACGACAATGGCGACTACTGAAAGTACTACAACAACGACACTGGCGACCACTGAAAGTACCCGGACAATGGCGATGGACACTACTGAAAGCACCATGACAACCACAATGGTAACTACTGAACGTATCATGACAACTCCAATGGCGACCGCTGAAAGTATCACGACAACGACAATGTGGAATTCTGTAAGTGCCACGGCAACCACAATGGTTACTATTGAAAGTACTACGACAACGACAATGGCGACTACTGAAAGTAGCACAACAACGACAATGTGGGCTTCTGAAAGTATCATGACAGCGACAATGGGCACATCAGAAAGAACCATGACAGGAGCGATGGCGGCCACTGAAAGTATCGCGATTCAGACGAGCGTGACCACTGAAAACGCCATAACAACCACAATGGCGACTATTCAAAGTACCATGACAACGATGTCGGCGACCACTGAAAGTACTATGACCACGACAATGGCCACTACGGAAAGTATCATGAGCACCATAATGATGACTACTAAAAGTGGCACGACGACGACGATGGCGACTACTGAAAGTGCGATAACCACCGCAATGGTGACTACTGAAAGTTTCACGATAAAGACGATGAGAACTACTGAAGTTGTTGTGACAACGACGATGAGGACTACCGAAACTGCCACGACAACGACGATGGCGACCACTGAAAGTACTACGACAACGACGATGGTCACCATGAAAAGTCCTATGACAAACACAATGATGACTACTGAAATTACCATGACAACCGTAACGGCAACTACTGAAAGTGTCACGACAACGACGATGGCGACCACTGAAAGTAGTACGACAACCACGATGTTGAACACTGAAAATGTCACGCCGACGACAATTTGGATTTCTGAGCGTACCACGGCAACCACAATGCTTGCTATTGAAACTGCCACGGCAACGAGGATGTCGACCACTGAAAGTGCCACAACAACGACAATGTGGACTTCTGAAAGTACTATGAGAACCGCAATGGCAAGTACTGAAGGTGCCGGAACAACGCCGATGGCAACTACTGAAAGTATCACTAGCACAATGATGGTGAGTACTGAAAGTACCACGACAACAACAACGGTAACTACTGAAAGTACCACGACAACGACAACAACAACCACAACAACGACAACAACAACCACAACCACAACAACAACAACAACAACAACAACAACAACAACAACAACGACAACAACAACAACAACAACAACGACAACCACAACAACGACAACAACAACGACAACGACAACCACAACCACAACAACAACGACAACAACAACAACAACGACAACAACAACGACAACGACAACCACAACCACAACAACAACGACAACAACGACAACGACAACAACAACAACGACAACCACAACAACAACAACAACCACAACAACAACAACGACAACTACAACAACGACAACCACAACTTCAACAATAAGTGAGTCTTACAAATTATAGGATAATGAAGAAGGGTTGTTTCAGTTTTCGGAGCGATAGATATTAGTGGTGTGGATAGTTTAGGTGTGGTTGGTGGATTTCCACTATAAGTGGTAGGTTGTGTGATTAAAGTAATCAGTGTAGCTGATATTCAAGTTTTCGAGAATTTCCGATTGGCTCGAAGATCGTTTGAATAGACCGTTGACGTGTGGAGGAGGATGCTTTTACGATGGGAACGATCCCCATGGAATTGATATTTGTAGATGTTAGGGTTTGTTCACGTATGGCACTGTTCCAGTAAGCGAAGTTTGATTGTTCATCGACGTATGCTTGGATTTTAAAGAATATTTATGGATTTATCTAAATCTGCAACATTGCTTCATAATTGTTTGACATCAGTAGACAGAATATTATGAGGAATATCTCAGATTTGGCGAAGCTTTCGGAAGCTCATCATAAAAGAAAGTCAGAAGGTACTTCACAATTTCAGCAACATATGTAGGTTCCTATGAATCTTATTGAAATGATAAACACAATATCCTTTAAAGGATGGAAAACTTTTATTAAACTGTTGCATATATGTGAATACTAAACATGAAGTATTGTTCTTTGAAGAAATTTATCTATTCAGCTCATAAAAATCTAAACCTTGAAAATTGTGTTTGTTGTCTTAACAGTTGCTACCGCAGATCGAAAACGTGTGAAATATCCGGCAAATCGACTTGACTTGGCTCGTCTCAAGCCGAGTAGAGTCGAGGCAGTTCCTGTCCCGAGCCGAGTCTATCCGAGTTTGTCTTGAGGAACTCGACTTTTTCGAAAATTTTTAGTAACTCTTCCACGTGATTCTTGACATTAGACGTCATTATTGTTTCGTGAATTCTTATAATACAATTTTAACTCATTGGGATGTATTAGTCTTACAATACAATAGAATAAACATATTTTTATGAACTGGGATATTAAATAGACTAATATGAATGACATATATTGGCTTTCATTGTTTTCAACATCTCATTGGCTATTGAGAAATTAATTAGTGCGGGATGAATCTATCACGAGTTTATATAAGTAGCCCATACATGCAACGTACGACAAAATTGTTCTCATTGTTTTCAACTCTATATTTGTTCGACGATCAAGCATCTTCTGTTACACATTGCAGTCATTATTTTGTCGAGTATGTCGACCGATTGAAGACCAATTCAGTACAGCTAGCTAGATTCTGTCTCAGAGGCGCTCAAATCTTGATCCTTCAACGATCAATAATTTGATTTTCTTGTGTTCCATTGAGAGAACATCAAGCGATTAATCTAGATTAAAGCTTTTCTCTCTTGACTCATTCTTATGAAGTTTTTTAATTTTGTCACTTATTCTTGTTATTGATTAACATATGATTTTAAAAATTCGTTGTTTGAATCGAGGCTCGGTGACTTGACACGAATCGAGTCGAGCTGGATGTTTTTTGACTTGTTTCGGTCGCTGATTACTGCTAGTTTTTAAAAATTAAAATAAATTTTCTTTTCATTAAAAGAGAAATGGTTTAGCACCTGTCTAACTAAAAGAAAAGCTTTCTCCAATTGCAGATGTGACATAAAGAGCTCATTTAACAAATATGGTTTTAGATAAATGACTGATGTGTATGATGAAGTAAAAATAAAAGTTTAGAAGTTTCTTAAAAAATTCAAAATGTGAAAACTCGCTATGAATATGTTTTCGTTAAGAACTTCACCTAACATAAATAAATCTACTAAGATCATCAAGTAAAAAAAGAAGGCATTTCAAAATTGATTTTTGTAGAAGTTTCATGTAATGAAAATTTAAGTCAGTATGAAACTGCTATTGTACTAGACTTGCTTGTACGGAGGTACTTCAATAGATTTCGTCTCGATCCGTGGTCAAAATACATGTGCGATAGAATATAGTTGTCGAGCGACTGGCGATTGAACTAGAACAAAACAAAAGTAGTTTTTTAAAATTGTAGACCACTAATTAGGGCCATCGTATAAGTGTCAATGTCTCTTTGCATATTACATGAGTTACAAGTTGTAACTGCTATTGACTGTTATGACCTTATTAACTTTTTTTTAGTGAAGATGGCTTGATTGAAAGTTTCGGAGTTTTTCGAATAGACAAAAGAGAAAAGGAACGAGTCATTTGAAATTCATTATAGAATACAATTATCTACATTGATGCATATACGTGTTATGATAGTTGGATGAGTCCAATTTGATTTATTAAGCGAAGTTAAATATAACTGTTGTTATTGTTACTGGGAGTATTTATTGTTGATTCCCACTAATAACTGGAGACCGTGAATTTCTTGAATAGGTGATATTTCGTATTTTTAGTCTATGATTTTTTGTGGTACGTTCCACTTGATATCACCAAAGAAAATTAAGAGCCATCTATTACAAATATTACGGTATCCACTAGTTGTCATATTCAAATTGTTTCTTCTTCTTTGTTTATTTGCCTATAAAGCAGTTAGCTAGACCGATGAAATATCCATCCTACTATTATTGCTACTTCTTTTACCGAAAAGTATAATATTATTAGCAATGCGGTTTGAAAAGGAAAATAAATGAATAGTGAAACACTTTTAATATTTCCTTGATAGTTTTTTTTTACTTGAACTTATCGCAATTCTTCACAGAGTTATAAGTTATATCATTATTGATAGGTTTACCACCCTTCTTGGACGTCCAATCTGGTACTATTTATGGTGTTTGGAATACATTCGCTGGTGGAATCAGTACATTAGCAACAGAAAACAGTACTGGTGCTGGAACCTATTATACAGGACAATCTCCGGACAATCTATTCGATGGTTCTCTCAATACAAAATATACTAGTCGAGGTAATTCAACTTCTGGAACCAACACATATGCTGGTCTCAATACTGGTTTTTATTTGACTATTATTCAATGTCAACCAGTACTTATTGGATTTCGATTCGGTAATGCATACAATTTTTCAGAGCGTGAACCGCTTACGCTTACAATTGAAGGAACCAACTGTGCTAATCTAACAACTTGTGTAAATTGGACTTTAATTTACAATGGATCAACAGGTCTTGATACAGTAACAAGCAGTTTAGCATATGGACAGTATCAGTCAATTTCGAACAGCAATAGTTACAAAACTTACCGTTTTCTTATTACAGATAAACGAGATTTAAGTGCATATGTTTCATACAGTGAAGTGCAACTGTTTGGCTATTCAAATCAATCATCAACAAGCCAGAATGGAACGTCAAGTAGGTTCATATATTTTGACTTCATTTTTGAAATAAATCACTTTGATTCTCATATAATTATAAAAGTAATTGAACAAAAATAATTGAAAGTGAACAGTCATCGGAGCATGAGTCAGAAAAGTATATTTTCTTGTCACATAGCTGTCAAAAATAAAATAATTATTTTCTTTTTTGAAAGAAAATATGACAAGATGATGATCTATTGTGTTGATTGAAGCATTAAAAAAAATTGAGAAGCTGTATTCATTTTAATGTCAAAGATTTTGTTTAGTCATTTAGATAAATTTATTATTTACTCTTATTTTCTTTCATAGATTCAACATCTTTATTTGCCATACAATCTGGATCTGTTCAAGCTCTATGGAATACATTCGCAGGTGGCATCAGTACAATTGCTACAGCTAATACATCAGGCGTTGGAACATATGTTCCCAATCAGTCTGCAGACTTATTATTCGATAATAAAACTAGTACTAAATACACGAGTCGAGGTAATTCAAGTTCTGGCAACAATTCAATCGCTGGTCTTAACACAGGCTTTTACCTTACTATTGCACAATGTCAACCAACTCTTGTTAAATTTCGTTTCGCAACTGCCGCCACCGGATCTTCAGCTGATCGTGATCCAACTGCTATTACAGTCGAAGGAACTAACTGTTACATTTTGGTGAATTGTACTAATTGGACACTTATCTACACTGGCCCAACAGGTTTAGAAAGTTTTGTAAACCGATCTACGTATGGACCGTTTCAAACCATATCATCGCCTCAAATTTTTACAAGTTATCGCTTCCTGGTCACCGTCAAGAGAAGTATCAGCGACTATGTTGCCTACAGCGAAGTAGAACTCTATGGCTATTAGGAACCTTAATGATTAAATTCTTCATAAGAATTCAGTAATCATTGCAAATAGTGATGTAATCTTAAAAATAATCATGTATATATATGCTTGAAAAGTTTTAAGTTACCTAATCAATATTGATCTATTCACAGTTTCGTTTTTGTTAGCACTTTTCTTTCTCGAATTTCAAATAAACATTCGAAAAATAAACATTTATGGAACAATTAATCTACAAATACAATATATTGATAAAAGGGACTCCACTAAAGACAGTTGTGAATTTTCAATTATAATATACAGTCGTCCATCACAACTAACATCTTTGACACATTAAAAGATCTCCGTTGAAGATTAATTTTTTGAAAATATTCTCGGCAACGTATTGGTAGTTTTAATATTTATGTTTACAATAATAATATTTAAGTTCAGTATAAACAATACTGTGATCCTTTAGCAGAGATGCCGGATCTTCTGGTATGACAAGAAAAGTCTCGAAATTCAAACTTTTCCAATGCTTCAACTTTTTTTCTCCTACTGTCTCAATTTTTCTTTTTCATGTGATAATATCGTACTAAAATAACTATCTTGGGCTGCTCACTCGAACTCACCGGTATTTGCATGTTTTTACTTGTTTTATTTTTCGTAAATACATTTTAAGATGGTGAATATAAACAAACAACAAGAGAATAAAAAAGTCTAGCAATAGAAAAAACATATCATAGATTGGTTCACGAAAAAAAAATGCCATGGTTTTCTGATTTTGAAAATAAAATGTGATTTCTTTTTCGAGTCAAAAAACATTACTTCTATCGATTCTTTTCAAACCCATCAATGTGAAGGAATTCTGACAGAACCAAGGACCAACAGTCTCTATCAGAAAATTCCCTGTTTGCTAACGAGTGTGTGTAAGGGGTTGTTTTTCACCCTCCCACTCATTCTTACGCTACAGTGATAGAATTTCACCTTGTCAATTCGTAACAAACAATCTAAAGCAATATTGTTACAAAGCACCAGTTGAGAAGCGACGAAGAGAGAGCATAAATGATCTTTTACTAGATTGATGTAAGATTTGAAAGAAAGATAAAAGAGAAAATAGTACTGTCTTCGATGTTAACGGATATAGAGAAAAGAATACTGAAGTATCAATAATTAAAAAAACGCCAGTACTCACTTCAGCTGCCTTCATTCCCCATCCTGGAGCCCATAACATCATATAAATGATACTACGACTATAAAAAAAATAAAAGCGTCACGTACTAACGCACATTTCATTTCAAGTTACAAGCGAAAAACAGTCTTTCCTAATGCGAATAGTTTTTTTCATCATTGTCATGATATGTGAACATAGTAATATAGTTGTTGTCGAAGTTTATCCACAAGACTTCGGGATGATCAATAAAAACATCATTATATAACTCGATAACTATTGTATGAAATTAAATTCAGCTGCGGTTCCACTACATTATGTAAAATAACATCGATTTCAGACAAGTACAATCATCTACGTAAGGTAATTCTTACCATATTCAAGTAGTGACCTCAGTAGATTTCTCATAGCCTTTGATGTCGCTGTAAAAAACGCATAATGTAGATGCAGAATATCAAAATCTGTGAATTTTTGTGTGTAGAACACAGAAACTAGTAAAAGCATGTATGGCATACGAATTTAACAAACCTATGACTTAGTCACAAGTTCTCAAGGCGGTTGCGCGCAAAGGATCGGTGCATGCCGTTTGGGAAATGTATGGAGTAAACCAGTGACGAACAAATGCGAATGAACCAATTGTTAGGCAAGTTAATAGAGCAATGATATCTTTTTTCTATATGTTAACATATTAACTTGAGCTTGACGATCATGTATTTTTTACTTCCGTTGTATAATTAAATTAGTCTTCTGGATTGACGTAGTAATCTTTCTTTTAAGTTTTATGGATAATATTGCCAGACATTTAATTTGTTCGATGATAAAAAGCATGTAATCTAATCGATTAGTGCTGATTCGATAGGTGAAAGAATATCCAAGAGTGAAGGGTGTGGGTGTAGATGTATTCCATTGGCGCATAAGTTCTGAGAGTTTGGATCAGTAGAATAATATCGCCAATATAAAACTACATTTTAAGGAAAGTAA